GGAAAAACCTTGTGGGTAAATGCGAGGCCTCCCGGACGAGATTGCAGCTTGAAATCTCTCACGACGAACGTCGTTAGTTGATATAACGTCGTCGGTCTGAGCCCGCGCGCTCTCACACATTAATTGGCCGCTGCAGTTGTTGATGGCTCGCGTCACCCGGACTACAGTCATTTGTCTTCCCGTGGTTATTAATGCACCACGAGCCGTTCTTAACGATCCGACCGTCCCCCGTAATCGCCGGGCGCTGCGTGCACTTCAGGGGCAAACTCTCTAGTCGCCATAGCCTGACACCATTTCCATTTTAATATCATCCTCTCATTTCCGAGTCTGAATTCAAGGTTCCCGCCAAAATTCTCTACATTTATTCCTTCCCGTGTCCAACCAATTCTTTTGTTCCTTCTTTTAACGTGTTCTCCACGTGTGTCGTCTGTCTTAAGTGTGGGTGTTTCTCATATGCATGTTCTTTTGTCAGAGCGACGACTGCCCTTTTGGGATGAAGACGAGACAGTCAACGTTTTTCCTGGACCAGAAGTAAGATCACGGCCAGGCCACTTAAGATCTGCCCTCACTGAAGCGGGGGCAGAGTCCTCTGGACACAGTGGTCGTGACTGTGTGGTGAGGTGAAATATATTATATAGAGACTTTCTTGAATAGTCCGTGGCTGCTTAGCTCGAAGGCTTTATGGAACTTTTAAGGTTTATTAGTGTACTCACAAAAGTCCCTTTGGGCTCTGAATCTGTCTTTCAAAGGTTGGCACCACCTACAAGACCACACGACGTCACAGCCCATAAGACCTCGATCGACAGTTTAAGCTAGTCCACCATTTCTCTCTAATTCTCATTGGTTACTATCCTATCTGCGCTTTGATCTCCCAAGTGGTCGCTTCCCCTGAAATATTTCTACCAAATGCTTGTATGATTCGTCGTCACGTGCGTTCTACATGTCCCGTCTATCTTAACATTTAGATTTAAGCACCCTGATAACATTTGGTAAAGAATACACACCACGAAGTTTCTCATTGTATAATTTTTACTATTATTAAATTTTAGTAATACTTCTTTTAAGCCAGCGACACTATTTTTCCGCCTGCAAGTTAGTTCGAAACGTCGGTGAATTTTATTAACGTTTCGACACCGTATAGTTCTTGTAGTAAACTGTGTGCATCCAGCGCCGTGGCGGGCCGGCAACTTCTCCGGCACGCGAGTGAAGCTGGTAGCAGAGAGCTGCAGGCGTTACGTGTTTATCCATCCTGGCGGATGGGACAAGGAAGCTTACTTACGAAATCTGCTTTGTTATTTTGTGGTCGAACATGTTACTGTGGAAGTAGTGACTGCCGTCTTTGTCTGGTACATATTCTTATTGACTCAGTAATTCGGTCCGTGGAGCAAAGTTTTTCACGATTAGCCGATAGTTATCCATCTAGTCACGAAATCTCCCGTCTGTTATGGTACCCGAAAGCACATTATCGTGTTTACATCTCGCTCTGATGATGGAGGAAGTAAGCACTTCCGCAACGCCGGTAAACATCTGCCGGACTACGCGCCGTAACATCCCAAGAGACGGTCGTCTCGCCCACCGTGTGTGTTATTAGTTTCCTCGAGGATCGCTCGCATGGATTCCGTGCATCGGCGTTGTCTGTTGTAAAGTTTATCATTTTCGTCGTTTTATCTCCTGTGGCGTCCTGTGCTAGACTTGTTGACGAAAAATCGTACACTGCGAATTTTCATTTCTGGTATCCCAAACACTTTAGTAGGATATTATTAGGCAGAACGTGTGTTTTGTACGGTTTTTATGCCCTCCCAGCGGTTTTTAATCGCCACGGTTGGCAATCGCTCCAGCGTGTCGTGTGGCTCGGTTCTCATTATGTTCCCGCATTGCTAGCGTGATTCTCTCCCCGCCGTTGGCAGCACTGAACGTGTCGATACCAAGGTTTCGCTTTCTAGCGTGTTTCTGTCGCCTCGGTTGGCTACACGTTAGCGTGTATCGCGTGGCGCCGTTGGCAACGCACGCTACATGTGCGTGTCGGCTCTCTCTGTCACGTCAGTTGGTATTTCGCCGCGCTCTGGTGTTGTTGCTATGGTGCTGCGATGACGCTTTGATAATGTACACGTACGCTGCTACTGCCGGGGGGCCTCCGCCCCACTACGCGCCCCCACCTACGTATTTGGCCGCCCAACTGCCGCCCCCGCCACCGCCCCCAGGAGGAACACTGTCGCCGCATTCCAAAAGGAGAAGGTAAAGACTAATTTGAACTCGGTTCAGCCCGTGGCTTTGTTATTTGTACGTGAATTTTCATGGTTCGTTGCATACGGCACGGAGTCAGTCCCACACTGTAGTTCGCGCCGATAATGTGTATCTGTTTCCTCGGAAAACAGAAGTGATTCCTGAAACGCCGTGGTTTTTCTTTTCTAGTTTGCAGAGGGCGTTAGGGAGAGCTGCGTGTGCTCAATTTAATAATTTGTGGGCGTTTTGAGAATTTCAGTTTGCGGGGAAGGTTAAAGTTTTTCTTTTTCCGGTATTGGGGACTTGCGTCTCGTGTGGTTTGAGCGATTTGACTCTCGAGTCGCTCGTTCCGACGTCACTGGCAACGCTGATTTGACACAATGGATTTAGATTAAATTTGGCATTCGAGGTATTTCCACGCGTTTAAGAATAAAATGTAGGCGTGGAACAATAAGGAACTCCTTACTCTTTACCAAATTTGATTTTTATAGTCAAGTGGGGATGGGTGGGGCACGTAGCGCGCATGAGGACCAAAATTTTCGTTTCGAAGACATGAAGAGAGCAGTCCATTCGTAGTGAGAGGATAAAATCAGAAGTTGATTTTACGGAAAGAGTTTGGGAGGGTTTTAAAACTGGATTCGTCTAGCTCTGTGGCGGGCGGGCTCCGTAAAATACGGGGAATCTCTTTGACAAGCTGAGCCACTGTCGGCTTCTCACGAAGGGTTGAAGGAAATCCAAAGTCGACAGCGTGCGTTTAGAGATTGTCGGGAAGGTGTGGAGAGGACATTCAGACAGGTTGGCATTGCCGACTAGGTGGATGCCTTACGGCACGAAAATTGTCTTCAAGGTGCACGACTGGGGTTCTAATCCCGGCAGCCACCAACCCTCCTCGCCGTCTGCGTTCGCCAAATATTTCCTCAGTGATGACAGGCAGATCCCATTTGTGTGGTGCTCGATAAGAAGGGCCTATGTGGCACTAGTTTCTAGTGCCACATAGGCCATTCTTACCGACGGAGATACCGGGTCGGAGGACGTGGACTGTCAGGTCCTCGGACCTTTTGACTGATTCTACTCGGCTTTTAACGCGTTCCGTGCCGAATATTAAGGCTTCGACCGGGATGTTCTTTTGTTAAATCTTATGTGGTACCGCCTGATTCGACTTCTAATGGTTAAGTGAAGTGTTTTCTTCGCGGTACGGTCTGGATTCGTAAATATTATGAAGACGAGCTTCGGCTTCAAAGGATTAACCAGCTGATTTTCGTAATGGTGAGGTGTAGTGTTTTCTTCGCGGTACGGACTGAATTCATAAATAATATTCATACGATCTTCGGCTTCAAAGGGTTAATCCATCAAAAACTCGCAGGCTTCGTCGAAATCGTGGTAATTCCGCGTGTAACCCTGATTCCCATCGGTGAAACGAATGTATTCCTGTTTGTGTATCGAAGACAGGCGCATATGATATCAAGTTGTCGAAGTTTCTCGGCGAGATATCCCGTTCGTATCACGGAGAAAGGGTGACGTTCATGCGCGTTGTAAGTTGACCTTCGTAACACAGAAGTCGCTTGTTTGTATTTTATTACAACTCCGTACACACCGCCATGTTTACCCAGATACACTGCAAATACTTCCCGATAAACTGGCCGTGCAGTGTTTTGTTTTAAGTTGAAAGCCGCGACATGTAAACAGCTCGACGGAAGATTTCGAAACTGCCTGAAACGTAGAAAGTGCTCGGTGCGTTGTCGCTTGCGTGAATACCTGAGGTCTCGTGTTCTTCAGTTGCACCTTTAAAATGTCCGTCGTCGTATTCAGGGGCGCATTAAACTCGGGTAAATACGACAGGTGGGTGGGGGTGGGGGGTCTGCAACAAACTTTGCTTGATTTGCGGTTGAAATCCGCGAGGATCCGCGCAATGCCACGTCCATGTGGGCAGAATTATCGAGAAGCTGATAGTCGCCCTGTTTTGAGAAATCCGTTTTGGAGCGACTGTGGAGATGCTCCTCAATTTCTAATTTAGCGAGCAGCGCTCGTACACACGGTCGTTGTCCTCATCACCTTGAGCGGGCCGTTCTGCTTCAGCAAGCGCGTCGTGATGCTATGCCCGAGAAAACCACGACTCCTTCCTTCCTTCCTTCCACAGTTTCTCGTTCAGCAGCTGTTGGCAGCGTCGTTAAATGCTGTTGGTGTCGGCTGTGTCACGTGACGTCATTATATTACAACGGGAAAGTATTGCCTCCACTGGTTGTCGTAACTCAGCTTTGAAAACTGCAGCAGTTGATACGCGACTCTGCCCTTCCGGTTCGTGTTGCAGACGATTCGAACAAGATTGTGTCCTGGTGCAACGTCGGTCCGGTGTATTCACGTACGTCGTACCATGACAAATCAGTTCGTGCGAGGTGTTATGCGGGACGTTCGATGCGCAGGGGAACGAAGAAATTGTTGAGCTCTGGCATTCTTTGCGCCCCCCCGGTCTCCGCCCCCCCAGTTTCAAGTACCCTTGGTTTATTTTGTGTTCTCTCGGAAAAATAAGACAATCACGCGTATGTAAAGTCTATCTCGCCGGGTCTGGTTGTAGATCTTAGCGGTCTCCTTCAGTGGCGCCTGACTATCCCAAATTTTGTATGGGTAAGGCGGCCCCGGGATGCGATCCTCTGACGTCTAAATGCTACTGATGTGATCGCCCCGCATCAAGAGACCCGCATCTGTTCCGTGGGAATCTTGTGCCCCATCTCAGTGGTGCAGGCTTGCCAACCTTGAGTTGTTGCTTGTGACACGTTCGGTTTGCATGTCGGATTGCTTCCGTTAGGAATTCGGATCTTTTGTTCACGGAGCGAATGAACAGCAACGTACACTGCGTACCACTCATTTGTTTCCTCTGTGTTAATCATTTAAAAGTCCAGTGGTAACTATTTTTACCACCTACTTTGACAATCAATAACTCTCCGTTTTGCCAACGTAGAGTACGAATGTGTTCGTATGATTCTCGCTGTAAACAGCGATTATTTCCTTAAACAGCGTTAACCAATCGATCTTTTGTAATGGTGAAGAGTTGTGTTTTCTTCGCGGTACGGGCCGTATTCTTAAATAATATTTAGACGATCTTCGGCTTCACGGGTTAACCAGTCGATCTTTGTAATGGTGAAGTGTTGTGTTTTCTTCGCGGTACGGACTGGATTCTTAAATATTGTTTAGACGACCTTCCGTTTGAGAGGTTTAAGAACGGGACATGTCACGTAAGCCGGTTTGTCAGAATCAAGGACTGCGCTTGAAGGACGCTCTGATGTTTTTGAATATTTCGGGATGGAAGATGTGATCTGAGAGTATAGGGCATTTCGAAATTTTGTACTGCGTTTTTGGTGATAAAAGTTAAACTGGACAATATCTGGAAGACATGAATGAAAAGACGACCTCGAAGAATGTCAGGGAAAAACACAATCCCAGATCACGTAATTGCAAACTGGCATTTTGAATTATGCAAAACAAACAATTAATATTGTCCGGGCACGTCCGAAAAATGGCGGACAACAGATGGCAGAAACAAGAGCTGGGGTGAGTGAGGGGGGACCGCGACTAGGGGCGAAGAGAGAGTCGAGGATGCAGTGGCAGGGAGAGGATGGAAGATGGACGGACGTTGAGAAACCGAGAGGCTGCGTATGTCTTGGTCTCACATCACAGATTGATGGTGATCGGGAAGGAGGTTCATACGAGGAGAATATTTGGACACGAGATGACAGAGGGTTCTTCCTACATCATTCGAGAAGGGACATCGAAGGCTTCCTCAGGGCGTGCGAAGTAACGGCGTAGGTGGTCAAAGCAGGCATTTGTATGAGCGGGTGAGCAACTGGCAGCTACTCAGACCATACGCTGGTGTTGGTTCGGGCACTCCAATCAGCCCGATATTGAACAGAAGGTGTCACCCCGGGGGGGGGGGGGTAACGCCTGTAATCTGGTTTACGTGCCGTGCCGCTCCGATAAAGGGCTCATTAGTCCGTCGTGTGGGGGATAATGGAGACAGATGGCGGGGACGCGTAGGTTCGAACCGCAGCCCTCCACATTACAGCGTCATTAAATAAATACAGGCGATCAGCCGGTCTGCCCCACTTTGCGGCGAACAGCACGTGCCAGGCCGGTCCGTCCTCACTGCAAGGTGTTGGGTCCGTATCGGCCCCACCCTACGCGAAGTCGTGTAGCGCCGTGTAGCCTGCTACAAGTTTTATCGACGTTTCAGAGATGCTGTCCCTCTCCGCCATCAGGCGATTAGTACTCAGAAACGTCGGTAAAGTTCCAGACTGCACGCCGCAATATTCCAGAAGGCAGTTATCTTCGTACTCGCAGCCGTGAGAACCTCAAATCTCATCTGTTCATTGCCGTATTCACAAGAGGCTGCAACCGGATTCTACCTGAATCCAGTCTACAACCCCCCACCCCACCCCCTCTCTGCCTCCTTCTCTGTTAATGGGTCATGGTGTCTGTGCTGTTCGAAATCACAAGGAACTCATGAAAATTAGTCGTTTGTAGAGTTGGCAGGACTTCTCGGGCGGGGACTCGGCCCATCGCTAGGTCTCTGGATCCACAAACCAGCACGACACACACAGAAACTTGGACATACGTCAGTCAGTGCCTTCAGCGGGGCCCCAACCCGAGACCTCAAGGCCGCGTTGTTTGAAACAAGTTGTGACTGCTTTCTGATTCGGCTTTGGGACAGCCAGAGCAGCCGTGCGCTTTCGACGTGGAAGGAAACCAAGTGGCCGTTGTCGATTGCTGTTCGTTGCCGGAACTTCTCAGCGTCGGGTGCGAATCTGCGGTTCAGAAGCTCCGAGGTTTCTTCGTACAAAGAATTCCCGCGGTTGAGCGTCGCGATGCCTGATCTTCTAGGAAAGAGCAGAAATTGACGTCGTACCGAATTGAGCGCGCAATACGCCTCTGTAGCATGCCTGGTTACGCCCTGCTGCCTGTCGATGGTAGCGCCCCAGGTTTGATTCCAGAGACCGAAATGTGTATAATGGGCCTTCATATTTGTTAACATTTTAAATCGAGGTTCTTGTTGGTCGAACACAAATGAGCTACGTCGAATCGAAGCGTTTCTGTTTGTAACACGGAATTTCGCGTTTGTTTTAACCCCACAATAGAACGGAGGTTTCCTTCCTCGTAAGAGTAGATGACGCGTCTGGAAGGCCGCGGGCTTTGAAATAGCGATGTGACGCTGTTTATAAGCGCAGTGGAGTTACAGTGACCTCGCAGCTCTGCCGAGGTCAGTGTTTTGTTTGCGAGGACAATGCCGAGTTCGTCAGTCCATCTAGCGGGCGTGACCCGAAGCCAAGGACTTCGTCACGGCCTCCCGATTACATCTCGTGACATGTTCCCGCGCTGGAAGGTCTTCTCGGGGATCTCCCGTTTTATTGGGGAGCCTACCTTGTGCGCCTTGCAGTGGAACGGTCGAAGCGTTTCATTCGTCGCAGAATGTCTGGGCGAAACAGAGAAACCCGAATGTTCGTGGTTTTCTGTTTCTTGTAATTTGTTTCCGTCCTGACGTCTGACAAGGGACACGTTCCTGTGACACAGGACAGACCTAACGCTGCAGAATTCTGAGGTGTGGTTATTTTGATCGTGTAAGTCTGCAGTGGCTGGCTTATTTACGTGTTTCAGTCCAGTGTTTGTTTAATTAAGCTCTTCTGTTTGTACTTTAAGTTGTTGTTTATTTCAAAGTTTCGAGCGCAGTAAGCAAATTTGCCACCTGTTCGGAACGTCCTGCGTCCTTCCCTCTGGGTCGCCTTCAGCGTCCGCCGTGGGCTTTGTGGTCGAGGAGGCTTCGGGCGCTCAGTTGTGGTCAGTGGTTAGACTCAGCAGTGGATTTAACTGGCTCGTGGCCTGTGTTGACGAATCTCCTGGTTTGGATTCCGTGGTACTTTGCACGCAGAATTTGGGGAGAAGTCCGCGGTTCGTTCGCCAAGCGCCTGGACGCTTTCGGCGTTGTGTTGGCACCACTGGCAGCAAAGTAGGATGAGAGCCGCCGTGCGCCTGCGCAGTGACCGCAGCTTTCACGTCTCTTGCCAAACGAGAGAGGAATTTGGAGCACGTAATTTTCATATCGCCTCTGCTCGTGTTTGTGATGTTTCTTTGTTCCAGGTTCAAATGGAAAAGAATCGTGTCTCAGTGCGTGGGGAATTATTTTTCCTCTTGAATTTACTGAAATATTTATCGTGTCGAAAAACGTTTAAGGTAAAAGTCTTGTCGAGCCGTAGCGTTTTGTGTCCAGACGGATGTGCGTGGCACTGCTTTCTACCTGTTCTGCCCATCTCATTCTTAATATAATCTCGTTGGTTATGTTTGAGCAAGGGGACAAATGAGGAAAAAGGAAATTGAATTGAAATCCGACGGTGAATTCTGAGCAAAAAGCGCGGACGGAGCGGGAACAAGGCTGGATACTTGTTTACATGAGATGGCACAAAGGAACGTTAAGTCCCGATAAACAAAAGAGCGAAGGCCGCTCTGATGACCTCAGCCTGCCAGTGCGTGCTTCAGTTTGCTGACTGCACAAACATTCACTGCCGCCAACCTTACAGTCGTGCGCCGGTGAGGATGGAACCCCGGTCTCAAGGCGTGTCGGACGAAGTAAAATGTCTCGTCTTGGGAGTCGAACCCAAGTCGCCCCTTCAGCGTGTGGTTGTCGCTCGTCTGGCAAATTCGTCGTCTTTCGTGCGACTCGACGGAGGCGCCCCCCCCCCCCCCTGGAAGCTACATTTTAATATTGTGATCCCATCTATGCCTAGGTCTTCCAAGTGGTCTCTTCCCTTCAGGTGCGACGATCAGGGAGCAGAGAGCACTTCGCTTTTGCGTCTGGTGTGCGTATTCGAAGGCGTCGCGGCGGGAGGGGCGTCCGACCGATTCCCCTGTCGCAAAATAGAAGCTCGCTCTGAGGATTTGAAGTCGCACCCAGAGGCTTGACCTCAATACCGAATGCAAAGAAAATCAAACTTTTGAACGCGTTTCGATCTTTCTTGTCGATCGATGCGTCACTTAGCGTGGATCATTGCACTGTTCAAGATCGCCCAAGAAAATGCAACGATATTAGACGATTCGATAACTTATCGATTTGTTTAGTGTGTGCTGGATTTTGCTTTATTTTTAAAATGTTGCCGCGTGTCCCGGTCACGAGAAGTACAAGTTTCTCTTTTCGATGTCGTGACGACCGCGTTCTTACCACACTCAGGGCTGAGTACCGCGAACCGCTCGCCTCAGACGTGGCTAAATCTGATTCGCGTTCTGTGCCTCTGCGGTGGATGGGAATTTGTGGTCAGCTTCAGGCTCCGTCCGCTCGCCCGTGGTATCAGTTCTTTCGGCCCCTCGTTCGATCTCGGGTGCCTGCCTGGACGTACGCTCATTAAACAAGGCTCAAAAACGCCGTGGCTGGCGATGCGTCACCGCGTCCTGACGTCATGGTGCTGATAACACGGCAGTGCTGCCGTGTGCAAGAATGTATCGGCCGTATTTGGCAATGTCTGTAGCTACGGCTCGCGAAAAGGCGGGGAGCAGGCTCGGAATCGAGATTATGCCCGCATTACGGGACGTTGCGCCGTAGAGATTGTGGAGGCAGCAGGTACCTCTGAAACGTCGGTCAGTTTTGTACGAGGCTGGTACTTCACCGCCTTAAGAACCTGAAATCTCCCTCAGTTCAGAATCGATTGTCGTTCCGTTCTGTTATCTGTGAGACTCTCAAATCGAGGCGTTTGCCTGTGAGACTGGCAGGGCTTTACGGATGGGAAGAGTTCACTGGGGAGACCAAGGTGCAGATGGAAGGATAACATTGATATGCATCGTGAAGTTGATTCATGCGCCACAGGACGGGGACCAGTATCGGCTTTTCTTTGGGGAGGGGGGGGGTCGAGAGGAGGACTTTTGGACGCGGTGATGAACGTACGGGATATCGCTAGCTATGCTACAGTCAGCTTCTCCGTTTCACGGTGTTGGTTAAGGAGTCGAATGGAGTGTTTGTTTTAAATTTTCGGGGCTGTCGTTGCCTATCGGGAGGGACTGAGATGGCCGGTGTCCGGGCGTGGGTTTGAACCTTTTCTGACCGTCCTGGGCGGTACATGACCTCAGCGGCAGATGCAGTGCCCGGCGCCTTTAGCCTGTTTGTGTTGCGTGTTGCAGATCCGATGAGGACGACCCGAGTGGCAGCAAATACAGCCGCATGGAAGAAGACAGCATCCAGGACAAGGAGCGCTTTGCGAGGTGAGTTGCTGCACACGCAGGGGCGCCGAGGGCTGGGCGGACCGAACCTAGTCGTCCGTTCCCGCCGCCGTGCTCTCTTGCATTGGACCCGGTGTAACGCGTCTCGGGGGCCCCCCCCCCCTGGAAGCTACATTTTAATATTGTGATCCCATCTATGCCTAGGTCTTCCAAGTGGTCTCTTCCCTTCAGGTGCGACGATCAGGGAGCAGAGAGCACTTCGCTTTTGCGTCTGGTGTGCGTATTCGAAGGCGTCGCGGCGGGAGGGGCGTCCGACCGATTCCCCTGTCGCAAAATAGAAGCTCGCTCTGAGGATTTGAAGTCGCACCCAGAGGCTTGACCTCAATACCGAGTGCAAAGGAAATCAAACTTTTGAACGCGTTTCGATCTTTCTTGTCGATCGATGCGTCACTTAGCGTGGATCATTGCACTGTTCAAGATCGCCCAAGAAAATGCAACGATATTAGACGATTCGATAACTTATCGATTTGTTTAGTGTGTGCTGGATTTTGCTTTATTTTTAAAATGTTGCCGCGTGTCCCGGTCACGAGAAGTACAAGTTTCTCTTTTCGATGTCGTGACGACCGCGTTCTTACCACACTCAGGGCTGAGTACCGCGAACCGCTCGCCTCAGACGTGGCTAAATCTGATTCGCGTTCTGTGCCTCTGCGGTGGATGGGAATTTGTGGTCAGCTTCAGGCTCCGTCCGCTCGCCCGTGGTATCAGTTCTTTCGGCCCCTCGTTCGATCTCGGGTGCCTGCCTGGACGTACGCTCATTAAACAAGGCTCAAAAACGCCGTGGCTGGCGATGCGTCACCGCGTCCTGACGTCATGGTGCTGATAACACGGCAGTGCTGCCGTGTGCAAGAATGTATCGGCCGTATTTGGCAATGTCTGTAGCTACGGCTCGCGAAAAGGCGGGGAGCAGGCTCGGAATCGAGATTATGCCCGCATTACGGGACGTTGCGCCGTAGAGATTGTGGAGGCAGCAGGTACCTCTGAAACGTCGGTCAGTTTTGTACGAGGCTGGTACTCACCGCCTTAAGAACCTGAAATCTCCCTCAGTTCAGAATCGATTGTCGTTCCGTTCTGTTATCTGTGAGACTCTCAAATCGAGGCGTTTGCCTGTGAGACTGGCAGGGCTTTACGGATGGGAAGAGTTCACTGGGGAGACCAAGGTGCAGATGGAAGGATAACATTGATATGCATCGTGAAGTTGATTCATGCGCCACAGGACGGGGACCAGTATCGGCTTTTCTTTGGGGAGGGGGGGGGTCGAGAGGAGGACTTTTGGACGCGGTGATGAACGTACGGGATATCGCTAGCTATGCTACAGTCAGCTTCTCCGTTTCACGGTGTTGGTTAAGGAGTCGAATGGAGTGTTTGTTTTAAATTTTCGGGGCTGTCGTTGCCTATCGGGAGGGACTGAGATGGCCGGTGTCCGGGCGTGGGTTTGAACCTTTTCTGACCGTCCTGGGCGGTACATGACCTCAGCGGCAGATGCAGTGCCCGGCGCCTTTAGCCTGTTTGTGTTGCGTGTTGCAGATCCGATGAGGACGACCCGAGTGGCAGCAAATACAGCCGCATGGAAGAAGACAGCATCCAGGACAAGGAGCGCTTTGCGAGGTGAGTTGCTGCACACGCAGGGGCGCCGAGGGCTGGGCGGACCGAACCTAGTCGTCCGTTCCCGCCGCCGTGCTCTCTTGCATTGGACCCGGTGTAACGCGTCTCGGGGAACCCTGGCCATCCGCCTCCCATCCTCACAGCGCCGTACCGTAATTCCTTTGTTAGTCCTCCGGGTTTCGCCACAGACTTCCTCGCCGGTCGTCAGCCACGTTTCACTGGGCGCGTCGTAACTGTGGCTCAGTTCGAGGTAAAACGAACAGCCCACTCTCTGACGTCACGGTTGTTTCGTGAAACAAGCCGTGCAGGTACACTACATATTAATTAGAAGAGGCTGTGTCGTGACCCGTCCTTTTCCCACGGTCCAGCGCGGGAGAGACGCGCCCCGGGGCTCCTTCTGACTGGCGTGCTGCTGGTGCACGGCGCACTGTGACCCCCACCCCCACCCCCCGACAACGCTCAATTATTGATTGTAACTGTTGTTTTATCTTTCAAATTTTAAAAACAGTCCGTTTAATCCCTACAAGAAAACGCGGGAGATGGACCCCCAAGGCTGCAGGTCCAATATTTATGTCATCTTCTGCCCCTCCCGGAAACCGATGAGAAAATTGTGAAGTGACTACGTTTACTTCTTAGGGCCACGAAGTGGTTATTTTTCGATGTTTGGAGTCGCTTTGTGTCCGACAAAAACATTTCATTTCTACCTTCTTGCAGACAAAAGTGAATTAAAGAGATTGCTTTGATTTCAGTTGTTTTTTTCTTATGTTCCCATAAATTAAGGTCGAGTGTCACATCGACTGAAAAATTGGTCGTGGTCTTTAAAGAATGTCTGCCTTTTTTAAGGTACATTTTCTGGTATTGAAATCGCAACCCTCTGAGGAAAATCGCTGCTCTGCCTTGCAGAGCTCCCGTGATGACCTTGGCTTGTCTTTGTCTCTTACTGCAGGGAGAATCACTGCGAAATCGAACGCCGGCGCCGAAACAAGATGACGGCGTACATCACGGAGCTGTCGGACATGGTGCCCACCTGCAGCGCGCTGGCCCGCAAGCCAGACAAGCTCACCATCCTCAGGATGGCGGTGGCGCACATGAAGGCCCTCAGAGGTGAGTCTCGTTCTCGTTTTCAGCCAATTGTCTCCCTTCTCAGTTCACGTTGCACGCGCCAGCAGATATTTGGGATTGCCAGGTGTCGAACGCCGGACTCCTAAGCAGTTGGCTCAGAATTGTTCGCAAGGAGACGAAAATTTGCACGTCTCCCGTGATTTTTTTGTCGCTGGATCGTGACCCCGCGCGCGGCTGTGGGGGGGAGTCGTCACCCCGTGGCCGCATCTCCATTCGGCCCGCGTTCTGCAGCCCCTGAAGACAATGGCGCTGACCGGATGTGCGTACCGCGCGCATCAGTGGCACAAGTGCTCGGCCAGTTTCCTGGAGGAACCGTAGAAAATGGCGAAGATCGCAGTGTTTTTTAATCTGGGACCTGCCGATTACAAAGCGGACCGACGACCACTCAGCCAGTACATCCGATGCTGACGGATCGGGAGTTGCATTGAATTCCCGTGATCCATTCTTTTGCTTTAGAAAGAAACATTTTCGTAAAATATCTGTGTCGTTTAGTCCTTACATTCGACTAGAATTTGCCTTTAGTCTGATGTGTGCCCTCTCTAGACATTCACGAAACTTGGTTCATGTAGAATTTTGACATATGTTATATAATTTTTTAAAAATCCTTCTGTTAAATCCACTTGACTGGATGTTTGTCTTGTTATGGTCGCGATCTGTGTTCTGCATCATATTTTGGTTCTATATCGTAAAATGTTTATGTCCGAAATGAAGCGCTAACACAGACTCACTGATGTTATCAGGCATTTGTGGAGCCAGAAGGTTTATTATCGAGTTCTGGTCCATTTGAATCCATTCCGCACCCTCCCATCTCATTTTCTTCAGATTCATCTCTGTTTAAAATATAGTAAGATTCTCGCATAAGAATAATGATCTCTTTCCAAGCATTCTGGACGTGGTCTACCCCGGAACTGTACAAGATTGCCTCCAACCTTCCTCCCACAGAACTGTTTGTGTAGTAGTTTTAAATAGGCCGCAGTCAGTTCTTCCGCATTCATCGCAAGTATTCTGTGTTACTAGTCAGAGGAGAATAAATGGTGGTTCGAGAAATGAGTGGCTTTTGTGATCATTGTGATGGGCATTATTCTTCTGTGACAGCAGATGGCTGAGTAACTGCTGCCTTCCTACTACCTCAGACCCATCAGAAAAACATAGACCCATGTTGCATGGAGCTCGTTGAGCCATTGTGTGCATGCTTATGAAGACGTAGCTACCTGTGATGACGTGAAGATATGTGTGTCGCAGGATTGCATGGTAATGAGCTGCTGTCAGGCTGTGGGTCTCTGCCGTAGTGCACTCTGTCTTACGGATAACATCAGCTCTGACTTACAGATGTGATTTCTTCAGAAACTTTATATTAGGCCAATCTCATCTGTTGACAGAATTTTTCCATTAATTTTCAGGTTTTCGTCCCCTGGAGCCATTTGGAGTGCATTATTTATGCATGTAATTTATGATTAATGCCGTAGCGTTGTGGAAAATCTGCTTTTTGGAGAAGTTTGTACTTGTTATTACATCATGAATTTTTTCTCTGATGGAAGGTTGGGTAACCGACGTACCTGCGTGTCTGACGACGCGGTTCGGCCAGCCTGTCTTCTTTCATTGGGCCTGGCAATTGCAGGAACGGTAGCTGACTAGCAACTATTAGCTTTTCAAAAAGAACTCTCCTCTGTAGTGTTATAGTTGGTGACTGCAGCACAAATTTTTAATTACTTTGACAATGAAATTATGTAAGACTTGAGGTTCTCACAGCGGTGAGTATGAAGATTTCCGTCTTCTGGGTTGTTGCGCTGTGT